GGGACAGGGGGATAGTGGGACGCGGGACAGGGGGATTGTGGGACACGGGATAGGGGGATTCCGGGACGCGGGAGAAGGATTGTGGGACGCGGGACGGGGATTGTGGGACACGGGAGGAGGATTGTGGGACACGGGATAGGGGGATTCTGGGACACGGGAGAAGGATTGTGGGACGCGGGACGGGGATTATGGGACACGGGCAGGAAGTGAGCTCAGTGACAAATGGCAAAGATCAAATGAGCGGAGGTGAGTAAAGCGAGGTTTTCCTCCGTTCCCCAGAATTCTCAAAACCAGTCCCGTCTGCATCCCCAAGAGAAATGCGCTCGCGCGCGCGCTCAGCACTGGTCACAGCAGCGGGAGTGCCGCCGGCCCGCGGCGCCTCCCCACGACGTGCTGTCCACACAGCGGGCGCCACTCAGCCTGGAAGGGCCTCGGCTGACTCGCCGCCCGCCTGCTCCTCGGGTGTCACCCAGACGGCGGAGGTGCCGCCACATGATGAATTTGGGATTAAGAAGTAAACAGTCGCCGAGATAAAAATCCCTTCACGTCTCTTACTTTCGTTCTTCATCTTATCGAAGTACGACAATTTGGAGGCGGCGTCAATGGCGCTGGGCGACTGCAGCGCGCCCACGACGGCGTCCATCAGCAAGACGTGGGTCAGCGCCTGCTGGACGTACTGCGGGTCCTGCGGGGACACAGGCACTGAGACCACGCGCGGCCCCGGCCTCCAGACAGACGGGCGGCTCGCGGGCCTCGCTGCCGTTCGCTGGGGCGGGAGCTGCCTCCTCGAACCTCCGGTGGTCGGGGGGCACCTCCGAACTCTGCCCTGTGGGTTCCCCGTCCCGGTCTTGGCCCGTGTTGTGCGTTTTCCCGTCTCACCTGCCATTTCGACAATGCATGGAACCCCCCACCTCCCGTCTCCGCGCTGCCTCTGCGACCCCGACGCGAAGCCACCCGCGTGGCCAGAGGGAGTGAGGGCGCAGACGCCGGGCACAGGCACTGCTCGCGTGCCGCCCGCGGCACCCATGCAGGCCTGAGGAGCCCGGCCCCCAGCCCTGCACTCCCTGGACGTCACCAGGCAGGGAACTGGGGACATGGAAGTTCCGCCCCAGGGCCCCGGACTGGGCCTTGCAGGTCAAGGCATCGTTGGCGCCCCCTGGCCAGACCTCGCCCAGCTTGACGCGCCCGAGGAGTCTAAGGGCTGTCCCCCCAGGGGCACGGGACAGCCAGACAGGCCCGGGGGAGTGGCAGTAGCCAGCAGACCTTGTGGTCGTCCGCCAGCTTCTTCCCGGCCCACATCTCCTTCACCATCAGGTGCCACAGGTTGCACTCTGTTTTCAGGTTGGCTTCAAAGACCTCTTTCTTGGATGCCGTCTTAATTTTTAAAGTGGGTACTCGGAGAAGCAGGAAAGCTACGGTGGTGCTCCTGACTTCCTGCGGAGGCAGAGAAGGGAGGACGCTGAGCACAGGATGCCCCCCAGACCCCGGGACCAGGGCAGCCAGGGGAGATGGGCGAGAAGGGGCGGCTGCATCCAAAGACCCGCTGTGCCCTGGCCCAGTGGCTCAGCTGGTTGGAGCACCGTCGGGTGCCCTGGAGGTTGTAGATTCGATCCCTGGTCAGGGCACAGGCAGGAGGTGGCCAATCTATGCTTGTCTCTCACGTGGATGTTTCTTTCTCTCCTTACTCTCTCTAAAAAATCAATTGAAAAAACATCCTCAAGTGAGGATTTTTAAAAAATTTAAAGACCAAGGCTGCTGTCATCTGCACCCACTGTGGGGACCTGCTAGAGAAGGTGAAGGCTGCCCAGAGAACCCAGACAGGCCCCTGGGGGCTTGGCCCAGAGCTGGGCTGGTGGAGGTGGGAGGGGATCCCAGCAGGACAGAGAAGGCCCTGAAATGACCCTGGTCCCAGAAAGGAGTGGAGGGGCAGGGCGGTGGCAGAAGCCTCCACATGACCTGGGCTCAGACATGGACAAAGTCAAGTCAGGGTCAGGGTTGGAGCCTGAGGGAGGGCTCATTGTCTTCCTGGTAGATCTCATCCACTTCCCCACACATGGCCATGCCCACAGCACTTAAAGGTGCTTCCTTCTGTCACCTCCTTAGGTATTTCTTTCTTTGGATTCTAGGGGCAAGTCTGGCAGACCCAGTGTGGGGAAAACTAAAGAAAAACACAAGATGGGTCCACAGGTCCAGCTGTCCTCGCCACCGTGCAGCCATTCACTGTCTTCCCTGCCTCTGAATAGTGTGAGAACAACACATCTGACTCGTGTAAATTTGGAAAATGAACATCAGGCACAAGCAGAGGCCCAGTTTCTCGGGTTTCCCCCACGGGCAGAATGACGGCTTTGAAACCTCACAGGCCTCAGGCTGCCGCAGGGCAGGAGGCAGGGTCTGGCTCCTCTCACCTCTATGTTCCGGAAGGTGGAGATCTCCACATAGCCTGGCCTTCCTTCCGTCAGGAGGAACAGCCGCTTCTGGGTCATGGCGATCTTGCCCACGCCGCGGCTTGTCTTCACCGAGCTAGACAGCTTGTAGACACACTCATTTTTGTCCAGGTGCTCCATCACTGACGCCGGCAGGCTGACCTCCTGGGCTTCGGCCTCTGTCTCCTTCCAGCAGGTGTAGAAATCTTTGAACGTCTCTGGGTCAATCAGTTTCTGCTGCCCTGAGTTGTATAAAGAAAAGAGGTTGCTTAGCCACCTACACAGGTGTGGGCCAATACTTTTGCTTTACCTAAAGTAGTGCATTACCCAAACAGGGCAGCAGGTGGCACCCATACTTGTTCACCTGGAGGGAAAACCCCTGGGAGGGAGTTCTCCCCTCCCTTCCCCTGCAGCCCTAAGTGCCCAGGGTGGGCATAGGATCTAAACCCAACCCATCCGCTCTCTCCAGCCCCTGACGCAGGGAAGGGGGTCGCTGGGTGACCTAGGCCAGGTAGTCACAGTAACTTAGGACATCGGGTGGGAACACTGCGACGAGGACACTATGGTATCAAAGATCTTTGTCACCATTAGAACTGGTGGCAGCCACCTTGGGGCCATGAGGGGAGCTAGTCCTTGGATGAAGCTGAGAATGAAGAGACCAGATCCTTGGAGACACTGGATCAAGCTGTGCCCAAAGCCAACTATCTCAGTACTACTTGGTTATGTGAGCAAGTTACTTTCATTATTTGTAACCAAGATCTTAATTAATGCGGTAAGCTTTACAAAGCCCAATACTCAGCCCAGTGTCACTATTGTTTAGCAGTGTGACTGCAGGCAGCTGGGAAGGGGCACACTTCCTTGTCTATAACATGGAAGCGGGACTACCCCCCCCCCCCCGTACAACCCCACACAACCGCTAAGAAGCGTGGCCCATTCTAGTCCAGCCTAGACTAGACTAGACTGTGTCTGCTCCTGCCTTAGCTCTGTTCTGCCCCCGTGCCAGGCCCCACATCTGTCCCCGTCTGCCCTGTCACACAGCAGCCCCATCATTCCACACAGGAAGCAGCTCCTAAACGGCCTTGTCCCTGCTTCCAGCCTGCTTCACTCACCCCCAGAATGGCTTTTCTAAGATGCAAGTAAGGGCTCCACTCCCTTGTTCAAACACTTCAGGGCTCCTCGTCTGCACCAGGCCCCAAATTCCTCCATGACTGGGCCCACCTCTCCACACCCACGTTCCAGTCACACCAAGTATGTTGTATGCGCCTCTACACATGCTGGTCTGGAGTTTTTGGGCCAGGAAACTCCTAACCATCCTTCAAGGCCCAGATAAGACATCTCTGCAGCCTCCCCAGTGAACAGTCACCCTGAACCGCCTTACCAGGAGGCACTATTACCACGCTCATTCAAGAAGCAGGAAACAGGTATGGACAGGAAAGCCCTTCCTGGCAGGCAGTAAGTGTGGAGCTGGGCCAAGGCCAGGCAGGCAGCTCCACTGCTGGTGCTCTGCTCTGGAGGGCAGGAACTGAGTCCTCCTGTCCCTAGCCTGGCTGTGCGGCCATGACCTGCTTGGGTTCCGTAACAGTGTTGGGGTGACGGTTATCTGGGGAATTTGATATCACGGCCACAGCTGAGTTTAGCGCAACTCAGCAGTCACAGCAACCATCTGTGGGTGGCCAGTGAAAGGGAGGGCCCGACCACAGGTCAGGAGAGGAGGGTTAGGTAATAAGAATTGCTGATGCTGTTGGAATTAAGGCGGGGAAGTCAGACCCCAGGTGCAGGCGCCAGACTGCTTAGGAGAATCTCCACCAGGGGGCGCTCACCCACACTCACTGGTCTGCAGAGCCTGGATGTGACATAGTAATTTTTCTAATAAAATCTCCAGTGTCGTCTTATACACACCAGTTCATCCCAAGACGGTGACATTCAGCTTTGACTTAATAATACTTTCCTACCACATGGCCCTGAGGCCAAAATGTACATTTGGTGCCTCAGTACAGTGGCTCCCATGTCCCGAAGTCCAGTCTGTTCACTGACTTTGCAATGTTAGTGGAGCCACAGTGACAACCGGGCTGTGGACACATGACCAGTGTGGCTCAGTCTGCTGATATCCTCCCGACAGCCTCACCACGTCCCCACTGACATACATGGGACTGCTGGACAGGCCCTCGTGTCCAGCCATAAAACCACACTCCCCAGGCACCCTTGCAAGTGGGTTATGCCTTGGCCCATGAGAGGTGATGCCCAGCGGACAGACCCTCTTCCTGTCAGGAGAACAGGGACACCGGGGTCATCAGCCATCTGCGGCTGGAGCATCAAGCCTGTGCTGGAGGAGCAGAGCAGAGAGGAGGCATGGTACACGGTGACGTCCTGGGACATGGGAACACACCCCTGGTGGCTTTACGCCACTGTATTTCAGGCTTTGCTGCTGAACCAGCGGGCACCTGTGTGCCCATGAAGGTGCCATAGAGGGAAGGGGCAGGGCCTGCTCTAAGAGGTGCCCTGGCTGGTGCTGTCCTCAGGTCTCTGTGGGTACCTGTCCTCCTCGGACACCACTCACTATCCCGTGCTGCCCTGCCCCACGGGCATTTCCTGGGCAGTGTTCGCCCACTCCCAGATCCCCAATGACACCAGCCCCCCTGTGCCTGTGTGGGCCAAGGCAGTGCCATTTCCTCTCAGCATTTCCAGGGCATGGCCCATGAGTGGCCAGGGAGTGCTTCTCCGGCCACACTGTCATCAGACCAACCAGGATCAGTGAACAGAGGCAACAAATGGTCCCATCGCCTGGAGGAAGACAGCACTTTCGTGTACAGAACACTACACACTGGCCGGAAGGCACGGCCACCCCTCTCTCCCGTCCCTGGAAGTACCTAGGCCAGCGGCATGGCCCTCACACTGCAGGGCCCCTCCCATTAGCTGACCGCTCCTCCTATAACTGCGCCTCTTACCCACAGTCAAGGCCTCAAACAAGCGGCTGATAATGCTGGCGTCCTTCACGATGCCGGACTCCTGCACCCTCTGCACGAAGTCATCCAACGGCATGTGCCGGCTTGGCAGCTCGAAGTTTTTCACGTGGTCGTCGGCCTTGGGGTTCTCCCCGGGCTTGTCCAGGACCTGGCTGATGAGCCTGCGCAGCTCCGGCATGCGCTCGGCCTGGGCGCGCTCGGGGCCTGGCATGGACTGCACAGCGCTCCTCACCAGCTTGGCGGGAAAGATCCTGAGGTCCGTCTTGTACAGGCTCTGGAAGTCCAGCAGTGCGTCCAGTAGCTGGCCCTGCATCAGGTAGAAGAGTCCCCGCAGGTACAAGTACCTGGCCAGCAGCATGGAGTTGTCGGGAGCCAGGCAGCTCATGGCTTTGCTCAGCAGGACCACACAGTCCGAGTAATAGGTCTGCACACACTGGCTCACCAGGGGGAAGTGGATTTCCGGGATCTTGAACATGTACGTAGACCTGGGGCTCACATTCAGAACTAGAGTGAAGGAGAGAAGCAGACAGTTAGCACAGACCTGAAGACAAGCCCATGTTCCCCTCCCGCCACACTGTCCAGGAAATGTCAACCTCCTGCAACGCAAAGCAAGAACCTGTGGCCTCTTCTGGAAAGTTCCATAGAGCCTCAAGCTTCATTTTGCTTGCATGACACCCTGAGAATACCAAATAATTTTATTTGCTGAAACTATTAATGCTGAACTGACACCTGTCGGTGAGTCTTTATGGAAGATTAAGCTAATAACCTGAGCCCAGGTGTCCTTGCTGGGCAGGGCTCAGCCCCATACAATCACTGTTTTGCTTCCTTAACGGCAGCCCTGTGAGTCAGGTGGTGTTATTCCCATCTTATAGATGTGGAGACTGAGGCTTCCACCTGTCCCTTAGGTACACAGCTACTCAGTGCCAGGGCCAACCCTAAACCAGGGTGCTTCATACTGATTCCTTCAACAAATACCACCTAAGGGCCTCCCAGGTAGCCAGGGTGCCTCCTTTCCCAGGACAAGGCCAGCCCTGCAGGTAGGCCCTCACCCCAGGGAGCTGGGGTCTCAGCCACGAAGCCCAGAGGAGGGAGAGCCTGGGAGAAGCAGGGCATTCAAGGTGAGGGCCCAGAGGTTGCAGAATGTGCTCCCACACAGAAGCAAGCACGGTGAAGAGGTGAAAGGCGCCACTGGGTTTTCCAAAACAGGAAGTGTAGGCCCAGAGAGGTGAAGCAACCTTCCCAGGTTCACACCACCAGGAAGCAGCTGTGCAGGGGACTGGGACCCAGCAGTCGTCTTCCAGTTCCTTTCATTTAAAGGACTCTAGTGTCAGTGAGATGTATTCCTCACTCAGCCTCAGCCTTCCTAAGTATCATGGGGAGGCACCAATTGGTACCTGGTGCCTTAGTCCAAGACAGTGGCCACCAGGGGGCCCACATGGCTCACAGTGCCCGATTCCATCTGCAGGACAGGGGCCCAGAGTATAAATCACCGATGTCACCAGTCACATGGTTTGCTGCATGAAATAAGACACAGGCTTACACACGTTCAAAGGTGTTTCGTAGCAATTGATGAGCCCAGGAAAGTCCAAGCTGAGGTCAGAGCTGTGCATATGGGTTTGCTCCAGAGATGCAGCCACTACAACTCACAATGGGAAGATGGGAAGACGGGCTCTCACTGTCCCCATGCCTAGAACGTGCCTCCCCAGTGACCGCGTGGCTCTGCTGAAATGTCACTGCCACACACCATCGCCATACCCAACCTGCTTCCTTCATACCACGACGTTGCCTACCCCACATTAGGGTCTATGTGCACATGGTTGGCTTTCATCCCCCGAAGGTCTGCTCCACGAGGGCGGGGCACTGGGCTCTTTCCCACCCAGGACCAGAGAGGGCTGGGCACTTCCTGGGGGCCTAACACTCGTCAGGCCCATTAGACAGCGACATATGTAAATGTGTATTTTATATACATACCTACACGCACAGGCAAGTGCAGACATGAGCAGACACACACATATATGTGAAAAACAAGCACTGTGAGCAGTGAGGCTGGGTGACGGGAAATACAGACAGGGAACAGTTTCTATAATGAACATAGTTTGCAAAGTGAATATTCTGAAGCACCACCTGCTCTGCTGCAGCCACAGCCTGTGTCGTCGACTTTCCGGAGTGAGGAGTTCCTGGGCGGCAGCTCGGGGGCGGTGATGTCTTGCAGGTTCGGCATGCTGACCACCATACGCCGGTGAGCCACGCACTGTGGTGAAGGTTTGCGAGAGGCCATTTTCTCGATGGTTGGCCTTCTTGGGCTCAGAAACATCTCGTTTATTCTGGGGTAGAAAGTAGCAAAGTTTTACAGACACCAAAATGACTGGAAGAGGAGCCTCCACTACGCACGTCCCCCAGGGTTGTGGCCACCGTCCAGTCCTCGCACACGAGTGGAAAGCTCGGCGGAGCAGTCTGTCTAGTCTTCCCACGGGCAAGAGAGGCCAGAGGATGGACTGCACCCCCGGGAGAGGCTTCAGCACCTCACCCCCAGCGGGTGTATGCTGGAGGGTCTCAGGAAAAGCACCACAGAAATGTGGGGAGGGGGGAGAGAGAAAAAAGATGGGGAGTGAACGGCCTGAACACAGACCGAGGTGCAAAAGCAGGGGGTGTGCCAGCGGGGGGTTCAGAGTGATCCCAAATGAATACTCAGAGAGAAGCCTGACTGTTACCCAGCTCATCACGAAGTGCTGAATGTGGGCCTTGCGATTGACTATATTGTTTATCTGTGCAAATAAAACTACACCATGTAAGGGTCTGGTCCCCAAAGAGTCGTCCACCCAAACATGCCGTCGCAAGCACCTGTCTTCCTCAGACTGCATGCTGAGCTCCATCTGAGCAAAGGCGTCCATCCTCCGGCTGAGCCGGGCTTTAAGGAAAGAGTGAAACATGTAGGTGTCCAGGACCTGGAAGAGATGACAGGTGACTTACTGGGACACACCTGCATGGTCCTGTCTCCTCTATTCTGTCCCTTCCTCACCAGGCCCTCCCACACTGGCTCCTGTGGACACACATTTCCAGACTCTGCTTCCCTAACTTATTGCAACCTCCTAACACTCTCTTCGGCTCCTCACCAGGGATCAGAAAAAATGTGCCACTCTGTGCATTTGAAAAAAACACAAGAAAGTTCAAAAGTCCAGACTGCCAGCTCCCATGGCAGCACAGCCACAATCTCTGAGTCGGGCACAGATTCTGTGATGTCCTGGGGACCATGGCTCTCCCCGCACCCCGCACCTCACAGCAGCCACCCTGCCTGCCTTTCCTGTCTGCCTTTCATTGGCTCTGGGACACCTGCCCTGAGTTCCCGCTGCCCACACAAAGGTGAGTTTCCCTCAGCCAGGGCTGTTTCCACAGCAACACCTGTTCTCTGCTGCCCCAGGCATTTGGGTGGGTGGGCTGGAGAAGACAAGGCCACCGACAAAAAACTAAGGGCCACACAGGGGGACTGGGGCTCAGAGAGGAAGGAGCTGGAAAGTTCCACGTGCTGAACGCTCCTAGGAAGATGAAGAGAGGGCAGGGCCATACAGAAGGGTATGGCCTGGGTGCCACCTCCACAGCCGGAGGGATCAGTGACATCTGTGGAGCAAAAGGAAAGGCCAGATGAGGACACTAAGGGATGGTCATGGAGCTGGCCCACAAAGAAGGGGAGCACACAGGGGCCTTAGCCTCCCCTAAAAGTGTGGAAACATGCCCTCGAGGATCAGAAGATCGGCATGCAGCTGAACCTCCAGAGAAACCCCTAAATGCTACTTTTCTAACAGACAAGAGTTGAGCAAGGCAGATGGTCATGAACAGGAAGAGAGATAGACAGAAGGGCTGCACCCTGACCTGGGATTCTTCTGGGGAAAGAAGAAGACACTGGAAGCACAGGCCTGTGACCAGCCAACATGAAACTCGCCTGCAGTGAGGCACACAGCCGTGAGGGGGGGTGGGGACAAGGGACTGTTTGGGATGACAGGAAGGTCTCCATCCAGACTGAGGAGGTAGTTACTCAGGTGGGCATATGTCAAAATTCATCACACTCCACATTTAAAATGGGTACATTTTATTCTATGTAAATTATACTCTAAAAATAAGACTTGAAGGGATTCCAAGATGGTGGCGGACTGAGTGGAAGCTACACTGACACTCTCCCAGGTCCAAACTGGACTTACAACTAAAATAGAGAAAAACCATCCTGAATAGTCAACTACAACTGAAGATGAACTGGACAGCACCCTCATAATCAAGGAGGAAAAGAGGAGACCACACAGAGACTGGTAGGAAGTGTGGGGGCGTGAGAGGGCTGGCTGGGATCCCACAGGCAGCAGCTAAAGGTCCAGAGGGAGATCTCAGCTGTGGGGGGTTCCCACTGAGAACTCTGGGGCCTAAACCCCTGGCGGGGCTTCCCAGTCCAGAACACCAGAACTGAGAAAGGTGCCCACATAACATCTGGCTGTGAAAAGCAGTCGGGTTTCTGTCTTCCAGAGAGAGATGGCTAGAAATGCAGGCACCCTCTTACAGGGCCAATGCACAAAGTCTCCTGTGTAGCCACCCACCTTGGGCTCTGACAGAGGGAGGGCAGAGTGGACTAGAGCTGTGTGAGGAGAATTCAGGGATGCTGGCTGGGGGAATAGAGCTCAGAGGGCAGCCATCTGGATCCCTGTGCTGAGTCATTCCCCCATAGGGCAGAGGACATCTTTCTCAGGCAGACATTTACCTTCCAAGTAGCTTTTGCCTGGGGGGGGGGTGGGGTAATTGCCCCACCCTGCTGGAAAACCTCATCCCACCCTGTGGAGTTTCTCAGCCTGAGGCTGTTAAGAGACTGATAACAGCCTCTGGGTGCTTTGAGTCTTTGCCTGATTTGCTTCTGGACCCAGGGCTTAGAAAAGCAGATTTTGGTGCACATCTTGGTCCTGTCCAAACACACCCAGCCCCAGCAGAGGGGACCTCAAGCAGTGGGTTGTTGATAGCTCCAAACAGGGTACTCAAGGCCAGTCACAAACAGCGTCTGACACTGGCCTGCACCAGAGACCCTCCAAAAAGACTGAGAGTCCTAGCAGATCTAATTCATAGAAACAAATCCAAACAGGCAGCCAAAATGGGGAGACAAAAAAACAAGCCCCAAATGAAAGAACAAGAGAATTCTCCAGAAGAAGAGCTAAATTAAAAGGAGATAAGCAATCTATCAGATATGGAGTTAAGAATACTGCTCATAAGGATGCTCAACAACATGAGAAAAGAAATGAGAAAAGAAATGGAAACTATGAAGGAAATTAAGAATGACATAGCAGAAATAAAAAATACACTGGAAGGAATAAACAGCAGATTAGAGGAAGGTGAGGATTGGATCAGTGAATCAGAAGACAAGGTAGCAAAAAATCACTCAATCAGAGATGCAAAAAGGAAAAACAATGAAAAAACAGGAGGCCAGTCTAAGGGAGATGTGGGACAACATGAAAGGTAACAATATTCACATCATAGGAGTGCCAGAAGAGGCCAAAAGTAAGCAAGAGTTAGAGAACCTGTTTGAAGAAATAATGGCAGAAAACTTCCCTAACCTGGTGAAGGAAAAAGTCACACAAGTTCAGGAGGCACAGAGAGTCCCAAGCAAGAAGAACCCAAAGAGGCTCATGCCCAGACACATCATAATTAAAGTGCCAAAAATCCAAGACAAAGAGAGAATCTTAAAGGCAGCAAGAGAAAAGCAGTCTGTTACCTACAAAGGAGCTCCCATAAGGCTGTCAGCTGACTTCTCATCAGAAACTGTACAGGCCAGAGGGAATGGCATGAGGTATTCAAGGTAATGCAAAACAAGGAACTGAAACCAAGACTACTCTATCCAGCAAGGCTATCATTCAAAATAGATGGTGAAATAAAGAGCTTTCTAGACAAAACAAGGCCAAAGGAGTTTATCACCACCGAACCAGCATTGCAAGAAATGTTAAAGGGACTGCTGTAATAAGAAGTAGAAATAGAGAGAAAGAAAAATATAGGCATAAAGAAATAAAATGGCAATAGATAAGTACCTATCAATAATAACCTCAAATATAAATGGATTAAATGCTCCAATCAAAGGACATAGGGTAACTGAATGGATAAGAAAACATGACCCAAATATATGCTGTATACAAGAGACCACCTCAGAACAAAAGGCTCACACAGGCTGGAAAAAAAAACTTCTGGAGGACTTTAAAGGCGAGATCGACAGCAATACAGTCATAGTGGGGGACTTTTTTTTTTAATATATATCTTTATTGATTTCAGAGAGAGTAAAGGAGAGGCAGAGAGAGAGATAGAAACATCAATGATGAGAGAGTCATTGATCAAGCCCGCAACCCGGGCACATGCCCTGACTGGGAATCGAACCCCAATCTCCTGGATCCTAGGTCAACGCTCAACCACTGAGCCACACCCAGCCGGGCATAGTGGGGGACTTTAACACCCCGCTGACTTTACTAGATAGATTTTCCAGACAAAAAAATCAACAACGAAACAGTGACTGTAAATGACACACTAGATCAGATGGATTTAACTGACATTTGCAGAACATTTCACCCCAAAGCTGCAGAATAGGCATGTCCTCAAGTGCACATGGGACATTCTCCAAGATAAACTACATGTTAGGACACAAAACAAGTCTCTACAAGTTCAAGAAGATTGAAATCATATCAAACATGTTCTTGGACATTTACACACATGGAATACTATGCAGCTGTAAAAAAGAAGGATCCCTTGCCCTTTGAGACAGCATGGTGGGACCTGGAGAGTATTATGCTAAGCGAAATAAGCCAGTCAGAGAAAGACAAGTGTCACATGATCTTACTCATATGTGGAATCTAATGAACAAAATAGATCCAGAGACAGAAGCATGGAATAGACTGACGAAGATCAGAGAGAAGGCAGAGGTGGGTGGGTGGGGAGAGATTAACCTAACAATTTATATGCATA